GATTAAATATAACTCAGATTAAATAGCACTGATTTAAATATAACTCAGATTAAATAACACTGATTAAATATAACTGATTAAATAACTCATTAAATAATAACACAGATTAAATATAACTCTGATTAAATATAACACAGATTAAATATAACTCTGATTAAATGTAACACAGATTAAATATAACTCAGATTAAATAACACAGATTAAATGTTTCAGATGGAGAGTGGAGCGGACAGAACGACTCCAGAGGAGGTAAAACTTTCAGCTGTTTGTAACTAAAGCTCAGGTTGTATCTGGTCCTCATGTCCTGCTGCTCCTCAGGTTACCGGGGGAAGGACGAGGAGGTCCTCTCTGCAGGTCTGGTCTGGTCTGGTCTGGTCTGGTCTGGTTACAGGTGAATATTTAACACGTAGTCTCCAGGTGTGACAGGTGTCTTCATGTCCCACAGGAGGGGACCAGAACCAGGACAAAGATGGAGCTGATGGTGAACGTGAGTTAGACTCTTAACATGAACCCTGAATAGACTCTGTTCTGCTGCTGGACCTGGTCTAAGTTCTGGTTTTGGACCACAGGGCCCAGAGTCACCTACGTGCCCCCCACCCTCCCTGAGGACGAGGATTCCATCTTCTCCCACTACGAGACTGGGATCAACTTTAACAAGTACGACGAGATCCTGGTGGACGTGAGCGGGCTCAACCCCCCACAGGCCATCATGGTGAGACCCGGGTCAGACCTGCTGCTTTAGAACTGGATCCTGCTGGACTCTGTTAACCACTTGTTTCCTGTCAGACCTTTGAGGAGGCCAGACTCTGTGAGTCCCTGAAGAGGAACGTCAGTAAGTCTGGGTACGTGAAGCCCACCCCGGTCCAGAAGCACGGCATCCCCATCATCTCTGCCGGCAGGGACCTGATGGCCTGCGCCCAGACCGGCTCTGGTAAAACGGTGAGTCAGGAAGTACCACAGCTGCTGGTCAGCTGATCCTCAACCAGGAAGTGTCTGGGGCCAGTCAGCAGGGTCAGGTCCAGACCAGCTGCAGGGCTCATCGTGACCAGATGAACAGTCAGACTGCAGCTTTCTTCACATTAAAGCTGCACAACATGAAGTCTGAATTAATCTGACACACTTAGATCAGGATCTGGAGCCTGGCTTCATGTTCATGGTGTCTACACAGTGGAAGTGTGTAAAACAGCCTGCAGGAGCTGAGTGTTAATGTTCAAACATCTTTTCATCTCTGCAGATTAAAAACATCAGTTTGTTCTGAATCCGTACAGCTGGAGGACAACTGATGACCTATGTGATTTTATAATTTATTTATATTCAGACCTTTTCTTTGAAATAGTCTTTAAATCAAGTGGTTTGTGAGTTCAGACATCAGGACACGTCCACCTGCCTTTAACCTGTCTTCAGGCTGTAGTGTTTGTTAATCCTGCAGAATATAATCTGAGCCACACCAACAAACAGTCCTGAAGTTTACATCTATCTGAGTGAAACCTCTGCAGCAGGTTCTGGTCCAGATCTGCCTGATCCTGGCTCTGTTTACGTGTTCAGTCCAAGATTATAGTTTAGGATTTTTCATTATAGTTCACATTTATTTTGTTTTGACTTGTTTTCTTTTAATTCACTTAGTTTCAAGAAGTTTTTACATTTTTAATGCTTAGTTTTACTTTAGTTTTTA